TTAAAAAGGTTGGAGGTTAAAAACGGTTTTGTAAGTAAGCTGTGGAAATCCGCGCGGAGGCTAGGCGAAAGCAAGGTTCCCTGCAAGGTTCCCTAAGGCTTTGAAAACAACATCACGTAAAGTGGATGTGTGTTTTGTTGCGCCGCTTGGGTTGGTAAAACGTACGGAGGTGTACGGAGGCAGGGAGTGTAATGGGATGGTGGCTCATTATGTGTTTTGTCGATGACAGGGCATTCAGGCGGAGGAGCTGGCACAGCTCAGGGAGGTTGTCGCCGCCGCCAGGTCAGCACAGACCGCTGCCGCTGAGCCGCCGGGGCTTGCCGCCGCCACCGCATCCACCGCAGAGCCCCCAGCGAATTATGATGGGAGTGGCGGCGGCGGTAGAGGAGGCATGTTCCCCAACAGAGACGACGGGGGGGTTGCAGACTTACCGTCGACGCCTGCGGCGGAACATCAGCATGGGGCTGACAGCGCGTACGACAAGGAGCTGACGGCGCCGCCGCCGCCGCCGCCGCCGCCGGGGATCCCCGGGGAGGGTGATGCTTTGTGGCTGGCGGCGGCGCAATCATCCCCTGCGGAGACGCCTCGGAAAGCTGAAACACCCCGTCAGTCGTTGACGATATCATTGGCGGGGGTGGCGGCGGCGGCACCGTCATCGGCGGCAGCGGGGGGTTCTCTTCGGGTGCTGCTGCCGGACGTCTCAGTGACGTCACCGCGGCTCACATCCAGTCCGCGTTCCAGCGGTCTTGGTAGTCCTGTCGTCGTTGCGCATATCGCTCGACCGCGGCGCGCCACGGTACACGATTTAGGTCCGTCACTCGCTACGCTGTCGCCCATTGGGTTTTCCCCCGCCGCCGCTGGCGCGGCGGTGGGTTCGACGGCGATGACGCCGCCGTCTACGGCGGCGGCGCTGCTGCGCGCACATCGCGTCAGCGACGGCGGCGGCTCGGCGCTACGCACACCGCATCGCGATGTTGGTCAGCGACCCACGGGTCATGGCCACAATCATCATCACTCGGGCGCGAAGCGCAGCAGGTCCATCACTGGCCTGGCCTCCTTCACCGGCGCCCTGTCGCCGTCTGTCTCTGGCCCTGCGTCTTGGAACGCGAGTGGACCCGGCGGCTTCGACGCCGCGCTGTCCCTCGCGGGCCCGGGCGACCCATGGGCCCGTGGTACGACACAAGGTACGGGCTTCCTCCGTCCACCTTCTCCCGGCGGCGGCGGCGGACGGCAAGGGCCCCCGCGGGGCTATATGCCCTCCGCCTGGGGTCCAGGGGGCCGCGGACCCGCGGGTCGCGGCGGAGCGGCGGGTGGCCTACTGCTGCAGCTGCAGAGTCGACAGTCGCGGCGGCGCTGGGCATTGCCTGACGCCGGAGGCGCCGCCGCTGGTCCCGGCCCGGTGGTGGCTCCGCTGCCCTTCCAGGCGGCGCATTCGTTGCAAACCTCGGGGGTCAATGCTCACGACGCGGAAGCGTTGCTGCGGCGGCAGCAGGCCTTGACACCGGAGGGAAACCGCGGCGCCGCCGCCGAGTGCGGCAGCTCAGCGGAGGCCGCCGCCGCTGACGGACAGCGGACGCCGTTGCCGCGGGCGTCGGATACGGCGGCGGTGGCGTTATGGTCGTCTGCGTGTCGCGGTCCTGCCGCCGCAACTCCTGGCGCCGGCGGAGGCGCGTGTCTGTTACCCAGCGATCTGCCGTACGGAACGCCGCCGGACAGCAGCGGCGATGTCAGCAATGGCGGCGTGCAGCCGCGCCGTCGAGCCCTCTGGAAGGTGCCGGCGCCATTATCAGCCGTCACCGTCAACACTGGCGCAGCAAGCGCTGCCGGCACCTCGGCTGTAACGTACGGCAGGACGAGCAGCAGCCTGGTTGGGGTGCTTCCAGCGTCCTCCTCCATCAATCATATTGCAGGTGCGCCTGCCCACCATCGTTCTCATGATGACGCGCATCAGCATCAGCACCTGCACATATCCGCCCATCGGCCCTTTTCAGGGCCGGTAGCCTTGGATAGCTGGCGTGATCCTGTAAAGTCACTGCTATGGGAGTATCTGAACGACCCACGGGTCGCAAAACGCAGTCAGCTCGCTTACTCGCCCTCGCGCCGCGGCATCGGCGGCGCCGACGCCCAGTTTCAGCCGCCGCAGCACCCTTCAGACGGGCGCCAGCTGTTAACTTCCGACACGCCGCCGCGCAATGCGTTTGGAGTTGTGGATCTCAACCGTTATACCGGTATAGCGGTTGGCGGCGGTAGCGGCGTCGTGGCCTCGCCGCGGTCTCGCGGACGGGCGGCTGTATCAGAGGACTTGGCTTACGCGCCCGTCGATGTTGCCGTACAAAATTCCCTGTACGGCACTGTACTGGCGCAATACCGCCTGACGACTCGAGCAGTGTGGCACGTGCTCGTCCATGAGTACCGCTTGCTGCATTACTGCGAGGCGTTGAGGTAATTACTATACAACGGTCAACGAGACGATCTTGCCGTACTGCCGTAGCCGCATACTACATACCTTTCCCCCGTACCCCTCTCCCCTCCTCTATGCTTGGGGACTTCTCCCGTTGGGTTTTACCGTACATTTAAGTTGTACACCTCCCCGCTCACGTGTGTCGTCGTCGTGAATCTGTGTCCCCATCCGCCACAACCAACCGACGCAACTAACCAAACCAACTAATAACGCACTTTTAACTGCCTCCCTCGACCTGAGCTGCGACCTGTGATACCTCCTTCCCCCCGTCTATTTCCACAGACGCTTTTTCTTTTGCGAGGCAGGCGATGTCGCCGGCTCTCTCGCGGATTCCCTAACGCGCCGTGTAGAAGCTCGCCCCCACGTGTCGCCGTCCACGGCGGAGCTGCGGGCCATGCTGGACGAGGCCCTGCAGGGCTGCAGCCTGCTGGCGGGCCGTGCCGCCGCTGCCGCCGCGCGCATGAGGAGCAGCGCCGCCGCCGCCGCCGCCGCTGCTGTTGACGGCCATAACGCCACCCAGCAACAAGAAGCTCGGAGCAGCGGCGGCGGGGCTGTTGCTGCTTCGGCGGCGGGAGATGGCACCCTTGGCGGAGGTGCAGGTTGGGGTGTTGGTGGCGGTGATGAGGCGGCGAGGGTGGTGCAGCTGCTGCATGTGCGGTCGATCCCGAGGCGGATTCTCGGCACAGGGAGCTACTTCGCATCCGACGTGCTGCTGGTTACCTGCCAGGTGGGCTGGGCTGGGCTGCGCTAGGTGGTACGGTACTATTTTTGCCAGCTATTTTTTGCCACAAAGAAATTTCCAATGGCTTTTTAAAATGATTCTCTTGGGGGGGGGGAAAGGAAGAGTGCCGATTGTGGGGACGCAGCGGAGCTCCTCGCACTTATTGGACTTAGATTATCGGATTTGGATTTATCGGATTGGATTTGGATTTCAGATTTCGTGAAGATCTGGATTCTGAGGGGGTGGGTTTGTGTGGCAAAGAGAGATGGAAGTTGAGGAGATTATTTGAGACCTGATGGAGAAAGTTTTGGGGATCTTACGTTCGCGGTTTGGTGGATCCATATTCGCGGTATCTGCGGTGTTAAAAGAAGACCCTTCTCCTCGCGGCTGGCCCCCGGGACCCCTCCTTGCCGCTTCGCCACAGACGCCAAATCAACCAAATCACTATTTGAAATGAACCGCGCTCTGCTCCGTTGTCCTGCGTTGCCTCCCCTCCTCCCCTTCCTCCTGCTGCTCTCCTCCCCCTCCTTTCTCCCCCTCCTCTCCCTGCCCCACCTCCCCCTCCTCTCCCTGCCCCCCCTGCAGGTACCCCGGCCCCTGGATACGGTGATCACAGCGGACTGCATGCGCGACTACGCGGACGTGTTCAGTATTCTGCTACGTGTGCGTTGCGCAGCGTCCGTACTGACGGCGTGCTGGTCGAGACTTAACGCTGCCACCGGCTCTTTGGTGGCGAGGGAGCTCGGCCGGGTGGGAGGTCGAGCGCGAGGTCCCGCCGGGGGAGGGAACCGGGAGAGGGCTGGTCGTCGTCGAGGCGGTGGCGGCGGCGGCGGTGGCGGCGGCGGCGGCGGTGGCGGCATACATGTGCTGTGGGAAAAGCGCCTGGCGATTGCGCGGCTGTGGCTTCAGGCAAGAAGAGAAGCCTGAGAGAAAGGGGGTTAGTGGAGGAGGTGGTGGTGGTGGTGGTGGTGGTGGGCTGCATGTGCGGGACTTGGGGTTTTTAACTTAGGGGTTTTCCCGCCCGGTTGCGGCGTTTCGTTCTCTTACATTACACATGTACATACAGAAACACATATACATACAGACACATTACCCCGTGACCATGCAGTGCCGCTTCGGTGGTCACGAGGCCAGTACGGCACAGACACACACGTACAGACAGACAGACAGACACACACGTACAGACACATACGGACTAGCAGTTCCCTAACACGAGACGTCCACGGGCTAACCACACGCCTCCTTCACACCGCAACCGCCCCCCCCCCGCAGGCCGCAACTCAAATTGTCACTCTGCTCCGACAGCACCTGCAGGTGAGAGGGTACGCACACGTACACACACGTACACTCATAATCATATCCCCTATTTCGCACATCGCTGCGTCATGTTTCCTAATTAAGAGATGATAAAAGGTACGGGTTTCGGAGCCGTATGGAGTCCTAGGGAAGTCCATGCATCTCCCCGCACATCTTTTGCTTTTCTCAGCCATCCACCACCACACGTTCTCGTACTCTTCCGTGCGCCGTACAACCGTACAACCGTACGGAATGGCGTGCAGATGGAGCTTCAAGGTCGTTGCTGGGAGAGCCTCTCCTCGGCACTTCAGGGCCCATCACCCAAGGACCTGATCAGCATGCGGGCGGCGCACTGCAGGTGATGAAATGTAAATGTTAGAACGTTCCCCTGTGTTAGAACGTTAGAACGTTCCCATCCCTTGTGTTAGAACGTTAAAACGTTCCCATCCCCTGTGTTAGAACGTTAGAACGTTCCCATCCCCTGTGTTAGAACGTTAAAACGTTCCCATCCCCTGTGTTAGAACGTTAGAACGTTCCCATCCCCTGTGTTAGAACGTTAGAACGTTCCCATCCCCTGTGTTAGAACGTTAAAACGTTCCCATCCCCTGTGTTAGAACGTTAGAACGTTCCCATCCCCTGTGTTCGTCACACCGTTTACGGGGTTTACGCCGTCCTTAATCCGCCACGGAGTTTGTTTTTTTGTCTTTTTTGGCTTTTGACGTCTTTGGAAAAAAATAGCCTTTTGTCGGCAAATAAGTTACCCATTAAACCCCTAATAAGGGTGGGGATTGCAGATAAGTCGCTCTTATTGCCTTTCGTAATTTTTATAGCCATAATTTTCCCTTTGATATTAATAATTAAGTGCAATTTAGAGCCTTGACTGAGCTTCCAACCAGGGCGTTTTTTCCTCGCGAGCGTCCTGCCACGCCTTTTGCGTTTCCTTGACTAATAATACTTACTGGCGGCCGCATTCCTCGTTTTGACTTCGCATGTTGCCTAATTTGGCGACACACAGGTACCTGGCGCTCGCTCGGGAGGTTTGCATGCTGCCGCCTCGGGAGGGCGCTGGCCCTGGGCTGAATGCTGCGGCTGGAGGAGCCGCAGGCGCAGTGCCCTTTACCCCCAGCATTCCATCTTCAGCAAGCAACACGACGCAACCAGCACCACTGCGGCAGCAGCAATTGCTTCCCGGGGCCCCGTTAATGGATGTACTGCAGTGTACCGCAGCCCTCGCGACCGTACTGCGCCGCGCGCTGGTGGCGCTCGAGATCCAAGCTGCAAGCTCCGAAACCGGCCTCTCGGCGCCGCCACGTCAGCCCACCGTGTCGCCCGTGCTGTCGGCGGTCAACTGCAGCGCACAGACAGCCGGCGGAGGAAGGCTCGCGGCGGCCGATGAGCCTGCCGTACGTGACTCGGCTGCCGCCGCTGACGTAGCGCCCGACGACCTCGATGAGCTTTGGGCTCATGTCGTACTGTGTCAGGGGCGGTTGGGTCGGGCGCTGGGGGCCTTGCATGGCGAGGTGCGGCGGGGTGCTGCGGGTTCAGCTGGCGGTAGTGGCGGCAGCGAGGGCGTGTCCGGACTCTTGAATGAGATGATGGCGGTGTTATCGGCCGAGCCGTGTCGTACGTTTTTGGAGAACGCTGTCGCTGCGGGTGGAAACCGGTTCCGGAGCTGAGCTCACGGCGACCACCACCCGGATCATCCCGCGTGGTGTTGCTATGTTTTGATGTGTTGGTACGGCAGCAGGCGTGGAATGGGACGCTCGTACTGGAGGCCAAGGTGGTGCGCATGCATGTAGGTATGTATGTATGTGTTTGTGTATGTGTATGTGTATGTGTATGTGTGTATGTAACACGGCCGTGAGGGGTAGGTTGGGATGGCATGTCTGAGCAGGATCGGGTCGTTGTCCGAGAGGAAACAGCTGGGGGACGGTTGGATAGCTCTTTGTGCGTTGTGGGGAACGTTAGTGGAGAATCTAGGGAGCTCGAAATTAGGGTGTGTGGGGGGGGGTAAGGGGGGAAAACAACGAGTCGAGGAAGGGCATGTCGCCCAAGGGCCGACCAAGCGCTCGACACTGGCCTTCTCCCCGATCCTTGGTTCCTTGCACGTGCGTGTGCGTGTGCGTGTCATAGGTAGGTTGCATTTGAGGGAAGGTGGGGTAAACGATAAGAAGCAAGAATGAGGGTGAGGGTCCTCGCCAACTCATATACCCATTCTCTCAGTCAACAAGCATATAGGTCATGAATGGCCTGCTGCTGGGTCTGTCTGACTAAGCTAAGCTATTTGTGCGAGTTTTTATTTCCTTTCAAGGAAAACCGTGCATATACATGTACGGCAATTGTATGCCGCAGGGACCAACGGAGGTTCCCCAAACTGGATCTCCTGTGGGGGCTATTACGCACCTCACACCAACTTGATCATTCTGCGAATGTGTAAGGCGGGTTTGCTCGGAGGCGAAGACCGTCGGAATGTGGTTAGCGGGCTCTGCGTTTTGAGGCGACTGGTACGTCGCGCCGAGATGAAGAAATCGTGAAGAAATCGTGAAGAAATCGTGAAGAAAAAGAAAAAGTACAGGTCGGCATGAGAACACGACAAGGCCAGGGAGGGATTATTGGGACCCGCAACCGCGCAGCGTTTTCGGTTCAAATTATTCTGGAACAGTCTGGATGCAGTAGCCACGGAAGAAACTGGGGCAATACGACCGACACATCCCTTTCCCGAAAGCGTTTTCTCAAGGTTTTTCCTGTCTAGATGTAGACCATGGATGCGTATATCTCTGGATTGCAGCGCTGGGCATGGCGACTTAAGGATGCAGGGCCGACGTTACGCCGTTGCGAGGACGCTGACGCGACTTTGGATGGCAAGGATACGGCTGATGTTTAGCAAGGACAGAGTTGTGATATACGACCACACTACATCGCATTAAGGCGTAGCAAATGTAAAACCAGGAGTCAAGGGGTTGAAATACACTGGCGTGAACTCGCAATTGCCGCACGGCCGCGCACACGTGTCACACGTGGCGCGTTAACTGCGCCTCGATGGGCTTATCACAGGCGGCTGCCTGCAGTGGCGAAATGCATAAACAGACATTTGAACTGATAACCTACGGACGGACCTGAGCGATGTAATTATGTCGGATAGCCAGGAGTTACGCATCATCGACGACAGCCTTTCGACGACACCATTCGTTTTTCCAAGGCAGCACACGTACGCTGTGAAATTTCACATTTTGATTTCATAGGGCGAAATGTCTATTCTTCGTATGCAGGGTTACGCAGTGTTGCGCTGCGGATTACCGGATCGGTTTTTACCAGTCCTTGACGTATCGAGTTAAGGCAGTTTCGGAGACTCATGACCTATGTGCAACAATTTGCATAATTTTCATACATTTTGCGAAGCATGTGGACGAGTTTCTCCGCGCGTTCGTACACCGTTACATATTGGCCCATATGACGACAGCGTTATTACAAGCACTACCTGCTTGGTAATTTATTGCATGGAAAAAATGTTCCAAAAAACAGAAAATACAGCACTGAAGCTCGCGTCGAAAGGTGTTGTGTACTTGTCACAACGCTTTTCACGCAGCAGCATTAGCCCTTTCTGTCTCACACCATACAAAATCATGATAATGGAATCCAAATTAATATGTTTTGACATTGTACTGGTACGTCCTTGGGCCTGTTGCAAACATCAGAGCAGCCCACATGGCAGCGAAACGTCCAAGGCGAATAAGAGTATCCTAAGTATTTAGCATATAATTTCTTTGCTTAAGAGTAAAAGCTCCTTCATGATTATATTTTAAGATGTGTTGTTCGCTGCCGAAAGCAACTCCAATAGGAACATCTATTTATCTCCCTCTGTTCAGCGATGCAAATTTAAATTATAAATATACAAAGCGTCGCGTACAAAAAGGTATCCCGTTACCTGTCGTCCGACATCCTCCCAGGGATTCGCAGTACTGATTTTACATGCCCGGTACTTGCCCACCAACAGCTTCTGAGATGTAAAATTATTTTTGTTTAATGCTTACTTTGGCACTGAATGGATCCGCAGTGTACACGCATACATTCTCCCGGTTGTTCCCTTTGAACTGGGAAGCATTATTTGTTCACCTGTATCATTTGGATTCTCATTCAGGCATATATTGATGGGCCAATGAAGCGAAGAGTCTCAGATAACCCGTCCGTCCGTAGAAGCGCAGTGGCAATGGGTCGCTTGTAACTTTGGTGTCTGTACTGTTTCAGTTAGCCAGCCCGACGTTAAATGATTTCCATGGTGCAACTACTGGATCGGCTCAGAGGCGAGGCAGCGGTAAGTTTGTTACGGGCAGCCATTCCCGTTCACACTTTCTGGCACATACAGGATTGTCCAGTGACATTAACACGAAAAAGCGAGCGCTCAGATACTCTGAATCCGACCGACTGCGATGCAGGGAGTATGTCGCATCGTCCGCACCTACCCCTCGACCCTTGCATGGCCCCTTCTTCTTTTGGGCCTTGTGCTGGGGCTCGGCATCTGGGGAGTCAAGCATGTCGCCTATGTAGAGAAGGGCAACACTAAGGTGAAAGTCGCTAGCTGTGACAGGGGCTCGGTCTAAAGTAATGACATCTGTTGCCATGTGCCTGGTTCCTCGGGGGGAAAAGTGCAGCGCCGCACAAAAGGGGCGGTAGCGGTTTGATTCATGTCTCGACGGCCTATAGCAACGGATTTGTAAGGCAATAACAGGCATGAATGAACGATACAGTGCGTTTACAGGGAAATGCCATGGCGTGCAGCCAGGGCCAGGCCCTCTTTGAGCCTGTCGGGCATCCTCATTCCCTTCCCCTCCTCCACCACCACCTACTCCTCCTCTTCTCCCTCTTCCTCTTCCAGTCACGAGCGACGGGTCTGGCCCCGTCATCAGTTGTGAGGTGCCTGAGGTGTCCCTAACTGACGACTCGGTAGCGGCCTTTGTGCACACACCAGCGAGCTTTGTTTTTACAGTGGTCATGGGCCACGGGGGTCATATTGCTGACAGTGGCCTGAGAGATTCACAACCCAATAGATTTCATTCAACGTGGCGCAGATCCGAAGTGGTCAGAGGGCTCATACGAAGCGCTAATGGTAAGGAAAGGAAGTCAGGGACCCCTCCGTCGGCTTCAACGCAAGAGACCGCCATCGGTGTGCCTGTAACATCTTCGCCACACAGGACGCGCGACGATCCGGGCCTTCCGGTTCGTCGACTTCCTCCCCCCCTGCCAGAGTGAACCTCAGCACGGAACCCACACACCGTTTCCCCAATCTCAGCACCAACTGCCGTGTTCTCGTCATTTATAACCTTGAAGCCACCAATCTCGCCCCACGTGCAGGACAAGGAGCTTGTATTTGCCCTTAGCGCCGCGGTCTACCTTTTGCAGCAGCTTACGACGGCGATCTCACCACTTCACCTCATGACCGCCATTGTGCAGTACAATCCGCAATACAGCGCCGTACAAAGCATGTTTGCGGGGCTGGCGCCGGCGTTGCTGGCACAGGTGAGGTCAGGTGTCCTGGGCCACAAGTAATGAGCAGCAAAGTAAACTGGGGGGTGGCACCTGTCCTGCAGCCGTCCGTCCGTCCGTCCGTATGCAAAACCGTAGGTCGAGTCAGGTCAGGCCATGTATGAGTGCATCGGAATGCTCCAGGGGAGACGGCTACCAGCACAGTGAGACGGCACCTCGGAAGGTCCCTCCCTCTCTCTTCCTCCTGTCAGTGGCCGTGAGGTGCCTGAGACAACGCATCCAGGTCTTAGCCTGTTCCTGTGTCCTCGTCCTTCGGCCCTCCTGCTACATCTCCTGCGTGCCGGAGTTCTGAATGAAACATGAAACATGAAATGACCATGTGCTGTCGGCTGCTAACCGCTTGCTTCCCCTTTCACGCTGGCTACCCTTCATGCCCGGCCATGTCATTGCTTCCTAAACCTCGAAACCCTATAAAACCCCACTACACTGCCTGCAAACGCCCGACTCCGCGCCTGACTGTACAGACACAAACGCCCGGCCGCTCGTCCAGCTCAGCTAATACTGCCCGCCCACCCGTCTCTAGTCCACTACCACCTTACCTCTCACCTCACCGCTGCCGCCCCCGCAGACCCCCCCCGGACTCATCCCGAGCCTGCAGTACCTACCCAATGGGGTCCTGCGGGACGTATTCCCACCCAGGGGCAACGAAACAGGCATCGGCTCAAACGTGTTTCAGTGTGAGTCTAGCTCTCATCGCGATCGCGAAATGTTTTTTTCCAACCCATATTATTCCTTCGCCCCGGTGAGCTTTCTTAGGCGGCTGGAGGAAGGTTTGAAGCGCGGATTGCTGCCCTGCAAACTCCCCCAAAAGCAGCCCCCTTCCCGTCCATGGCCCTGTACGTGGCCTTGCCTTGCCTTGGCTTGCTTTGCCTGGCAAGTAGTTATTGTGCTGCCCTGCCTTCCGCCCTTCCCTGCCCGCCCGCGTTCCCCGTCCTGCCCACCGTGCATTACCTGCACGAATCATCTTCTTCGTGGGGTCACTGCGACCAGCCTCGAGGTGTTTCCAGTTTCATGACATAAACACGCAGAACGTCAAATGATGCATTGTATGCTCCCTTTGGCGTGATCACATCAACTTTAGTTGTATAACAGTTATTACACTTCATAAGTTAACTTCCCGACACTGCTCACCACTTCCTGCTGGTGCTTCGTGATACGCCCGTACCACTACAACCCGACCGTACTCCAAAAAAATTCCGAATGACGCTTCCTCTTCGTAATGTTTCCTCCCAAGCATACTTATCCCCCCTCCCCTCCCTCCCTCCCTCCCTCCCTCCCTCCACACACACACACACGCACGACAGCGGCAGAACAGCGCGAGGAGGCCGTCGCTATGGTTCGTGAGAACACTACATCACTGCACCGGCTGTACGACACGGTCCAGGGACAGGTTTTCTTAGTGGCGCGGACCCCCATTTTTGTGTCTGGAATGGCACCGAACGAAACCTTTGGCAACCCGGACACGCTCGATCCGTACTGCGGCGCGGCATGCGGCTATAACGCCACAAGCCGCACCAAATTTTGGGGCTTCGTAAGTTTTGCCGAGGAAGGGGCGGGGAACAAGAATCGGGTTTTAAGGACAGTAGCTGATCAGTGGCTATAAGTGCAGTTTAGGACGAAGAACAGGGGTTTGCGAGGGGGGCTTGATTGGGTTAGTGAGGAGGACGGGGCCTTGGATAAAGGCGGTGATGGACTGGAAGAGCATCCGAAAAAAGTTGAGGGGACCTCATTCGGAGTTGAGTGGACATGGAAAGGGCTCCTTATGGGGTTTGCGACTCCGGACACTGCCTTTCCGTTCGGTGCGTGGTCTTGCTCAGACACGGGGGGAGAATGTAGATGGCCCGTTTGGCGCTATGATAAATGGCTGTTAAAATTGTGGCCGCGGAAATCGCTGGCCAGGTGGCGTCGGACTCTCAACACCAATCTGAACCACCTGCGTTCGATCGTTAAGCCACTCCACAGATAAGATGAAGGAAGCTTCACTCGTATGACCCATGTATTTATGTGTATACATGTGTAGATGATACGTACGTACAAATGTACAGACATACCTGAAGTGTCCTGCCGCCGTCTTCCCCCATAGGCTGCGGTGCAGATTAGTTTTGAGGTTGTGACGGACTTCATCACTAGCAAGCTCGCGGCTCTGGAAGGCTTGGGTTTCCAATACGAAATCCGGGGGCTAGGTCTTGCGCCCGACACAGTGATCCGGTCCAGGTGAGACTTTTACTTTTGCAGTTGTACATCAGTTGCTAGTGAGATGAGGGCCAAATAAGGAACTAGAGCGCCTCCGTACCTGCCCAGAGATATGTTTGGGAAGCTATCGCTTTCGTTTGTTGTGCCGTCCGCCTTGCACCTCTGCCTCCCAACTCGCTCGCTAGTCTATCGCCGCCTCGCCTCATGGATTTATTTGTCGTTATCGCAGCCAAACTCGTGAAGCGGACGCCGTGCGAGTGACGCTGCCCATTGCCGACAAAAATGTAAGTAGTGTTTGTAACAGTAGTTAAAGTAGTAATAGTAGTAATAGTAATAATAATAGGAGTAGAAGTAGGAGAAGGGTTCAGGTCTATTGGAGCAAAAGCTGGATGCGGGGCGGGGCCTCCGGCGATGTGGGGATTATCTGTGCTTTGGAGGTTGAGCGGAGGGCTTCCCCTCCCTGGTGGTTTCTCTGTGTGGTTTTTCCGGACCTCTAGAGGTTTGGGGATTTAGGGTTTATATTTTTAAATTTTTTTTGTGTGTTGAATGAAGTACGGCGATTGTGAAAGCCCCCAACTACTATAACTACCCAACATACTAACTGCTATGAGAATATTGAAATTTATTAGGCGATCATTTTTGTTTAACTTTCCGCAGCTGCCGGCGGTACCGACTGCACGATTCTGGGGATCCCCTGCAGCTGACAACTTCGCGTCCTTCTTTTCCACCGAACCGTAGCGTGACTCTAACCTTTGGTTGCATACCATTTTACATCGCATTTATTTTAAGAAAATTTTAATGTCCTAACTCGCAGTGGGAGGTCTCTGTATCCAGAACGGCCGGTCGGCGGTCCGGCGTTTATCAAGGATTGTTGGCGGGCGTCATCGTATTAGCGGTTGCCTTGGCGCTGCTGATGTTCGCGGCTCTGGTGTCCCGGTGGGTCCCCGAGATAATACATACACACACATGTATGTATGTGTGTGTGTTACATGTTTGGGAGTTGCGCGACCCATACCTGTAGAACTACTACCCATACGAGCCGAAGGCCCAACGGCAAAATACCTAAACGCCTATAAGCCACGGAGAACAGGAAACACCGCACTAGCAGCCCAGACTAGCGGCCAAAGGGGATAACTGAGCTGTGGTGAGCCCACATACGTTCCAAAATCCTCGCTAGACATGCTGGCTCCCATTTCATGGCCTCCAACATGCCCAACTGTTGATGATCGAATCCCACACGATACCATTATAGGCGGGGCATTCCAGTAACACGTGTTTTTTCATTCTCGAGTCTCGGCATCTTCAAACCGTAGGGGGCGTTCATTCTGAGCTCCCTTCATTCTGTAATGAAGGGGTCTTGATTCCAAAATGATAGAGTGCCTTCGATTTGGGTTGTGGAATGAAGGGCCAAAATGAAGGGATCGAATAAATGTGAATCGAATATGGAATGAGCACCCTTGGTTCCCAGAGTGGTGTACATATGTATGTATGTATATGTAATATGTGTGTATATGTATTTATACCACGAGCTCAGAAAGGTACCGATCGGCGGACGCAGATCCCGTGATATGCCCAGAATAATACAATTATCCCACCTTCAGCTGTAGCGGGCGTACCCGACATTAATTGACCCCCGGGACACTGTGCGGTGCCAGCACCCGCAGGATAACCAGCGATCGTGCAGCAATAACCGCTTCAGCTGAGATTCGAACCCCAAACTGACCTACGTCTGCTCCATACCAGTTGTTATATCATAACTTCTGAAAAATATACATTGGTGTATGCGAAGTCCGTCTATATGCAAGTCACAAAAAAACTCAGTACAAATATATTTATGCGTATATCTGTATACCTAACCCCCCCGGGGGCCACCTCGGGCTTTTACGGACACCCCCCCACGTGAGTGTGTTTGTGTTGGTGTGTAACTTTTAAATTCTAGGAAGCGCCACCAAATGCTTCTAGAAGCCCTACTGCCAAAGGAGCTCATCCGGGACCTTCACGGCACAGACACGACGCTTCTAGATGCTAGGATTCTGCAGACCGGTAGGTGACGTGGGCCCTACCTCCCCAATTTTGGTGAACAATATCGTTGATATTCCAGAGGGCTGTCTATGCGCCAGGTGGCGAGGAACGCTGACCGACCTGAGGTTATTAACTTAGGGTTTATGCTTCTTTGTTTGCTTCCCTACCTAACCTACCTAACCTACCTAACCTACCTAACCTACCTACCGAACCTACCGAACCTACCGAACCTACCGAACCTACCTAACCTACCTACCTAACCTACCTAACCCACCTACCTAACCCATCCACCTAACCTACCTAACCTACCTAACCTACCGACCTCGCCCCAACCTTTCAATGAAACCTGATTGCAGAGACCACGGCGGATTTGATGCTGTCTCTTCTGAACCGTCTTCTGGAGGGTTACATGCCCGACCTCCGAGATGTCGTCTTCATCCGCCAGGCGATCATCCGCGGCGTAGATCTGTACCAGCCAACTGACCTGACCAAACACATTCGCGATGCAAACTTGGACGTGAGTGTACGGAATCGCCGTACTTGGCGGTGAAAGGCTTCTTGGAAGCATCGTGAGGATGCCGCAGTGGGCGTCGCGCCGTATCCTGAAAGGACGAAGTACGGGTAGACGGGTGTGTACGGGTACACATTAAGTCGATGCAGAAAAAAAGTATATACAGGAAAAGTATGTGCATAAACGGTATGTACAGAATTAGTATGTACAGATCAAGTATATAAAGATGGGGATCTAAGATGATCTCTCCGCTGCCAAGGGACATCAGTTTTTGAAGTAACGCGCGTGCGCAAGGAGCTCCCTAAGCGGTCTGAAGTCAACCACCAACCGGCAATCGCCGACCACCAACCGGCAATCGCCAACAGGCAACCGCCAATAGGCAACCCCAAGAGCCCATAAGGGCAACCAATGGTGGCAATAAACCCGCACCCATAACCCTTGCCTGTGTCCACCTCTTCACCCTGGGCCTTTCCATTACAGCAGCGCTGTATGTATGTCCGTCTAACCGCCACAAATCGTCGTGAATTGTCCGCCGTACTTTCCAATCTCTCAAACCGCAAATCACCACCAACTGACCCGTATTGCAGAAAGACGTAGCCCGGGCGCTGATGCAACAGCTAGGGCAAGAGACCGTGCGGAGCTCTCCCTTCTACGGCAGCTCGGATCACATGTTTCCGGATGACGACATCTATACGGCAAGTCCGCGCTTCATCGGCAGCTTCATTAACGGTAGCTATCCGGCACAGCAAAACTACCAAAACCAAATCCAGCAGCAGCAGCAGCAGCAGCAGGGCTATGGCACACTCACCGGAGCGCTCGCGCTCCTGCTCTCCCCGCAGCTGACCAGCCTGCGGGACAACTTCGAGTCTATGAGTGGCGACACTATGTTGGACATCACCGCTCCTCCGCTTTCAGGGGTGGGAAGGGAGCTGGACGGCGCCGTCAGCGGCGGTGCTGGAGCAGCCGCAATCACCAGCTGCGGTGGCTGCGGCACCACGGGCAGCCCGCGCCCCTCCAGCCTCAACTTCGTTAGCCGTGCCATTAACTTTCTCCGGGAAGGCGGTGGTGGCGGCGGCGTTGTCGGCGCTGGCGTTGGGGTCGTCATGACAAGCGCCGTCAGCCGCATGAGCCTTGACCTGGCGCATCAGGGCTTGGAGCTGGTGACGACAGCGACTGCGGCGGCGGCGGCGGCAGCGGCGCCGCCGCCCTGTGACGCAGCAGAATTGCCATCCCCACCGCCGCCGCCGCTGCTGCCGCCGCCGTCACTCCGACCTCGACCTGTCGTGTCTATGGCGGACATTCCTGCCGCTGCTTTCACCAGCTGCGAAAACGATGAGGTGGAACGGTCGCGCTCATCGGCAGCGTCCGCCACGGCGGGCCCCCGCGAGGACAGCACCGCTCCCCGAGCAGCAGCTGCACCCGTGCGCCGACCACCAAGGAAGGTAGCGTCGGCGTTGGGCCCCGGCGCAGCCGCCGCCACCGCAAACCTACGGCGGCGCAGTCTACTCCTCAGCTTGGCTAACGGACCCGCCGCCGGTGTTGCAGGTCTGGTTAGCAGCGGCGGGATGCTGCCGTCGGCGACGCTGGCGCTGCCGCCGCTGGTGGCGCGGAATAGCGCACGGCGGGTTTCCGTGACATCTACAATCGACGGCACGTTGCAGCTACCAAGCGAAAGTGCAGGTGCCGGCGGCGGCGGCGGCGGCGGCGGCGGCGGCGGCGGCGGCGGCGGCGATCCAGGGAGTGTGGGCAACCGTTTGGTGACCACGTTGGGTCCCAGTCGGCGGAACCTGGCCGCAGGCGTCAGCCGAGTCACAAAGCCGCCTCAAAGCCTGCCACCGCCCCCACCGCCGCCTGCACCCATTATTGAGGAGGTGCGTGCGGAAGGGAGGGAAGGAGCTGGTCTGTGTAAGTGACAAGAGAGAATGTGTACGTGCGTAAATATGCTTGTCTGTGTGTTCGTGGCGGCTGAAGAATGGCGGCCGTTATGGTTGGTTGGGAGGGGGGGAAAGGGCCTGTGTGTGCGTGCGCTTGTGAGAGCAACACTGTAGAGAGCAACCGGTGGGGGAGAAATGAGGGCCCCTACCAACTGATTAAAATATAAATAATAAGTTTCGGCTGCAGGTCAATCTATAAAATAAAAAATTAATAAACAAAATGGCTTTGGTTTTCTTTGACAAAGAACCAAACCAACTACTGAGCAAAGGGGAAACCGAAGGGGGATGCCGTACCAACTTACCAGAAGAGGGTTAACAGCCGCGAGATCTAACGGCCGCCTGGCGGTGCATCGAATTGGTGCTATCTAGGATGTTGGTGACCCGTTTCGGGACGTACGGCACTTCGTTGGTGCCCCTGAGGTAGGAGCGATAACCTGTCCGCTGTGGCTGTACAGCAGTAACCGACTGGGTGGTTGGTCACACTTTTGTACTGCCGCCTCCTCTTAACACCGAACGGAGCAACACTTTTATAGTACATACTGAGATAAAGATTAGCAGCTCTGTTCAGAATGTTTAGCGCCTATTATGAGTTGCTTAAGCTCTATTAGTGGGAAGGGGCCGGCGGAGAGGGGGCGGAGTGGCGAGGGTAGGGAGAGTTGAGGCTGTGTCCTGCCCTGTCCTGCCATGTCCGTGATGCCCTTACCTGTCCTGCCCTGTCCATATCCCTGTCGTACACCTGCGTGAGTCCACGATGGTCTTCTTACATGCAGGCCAGTTATGAAAGGCAAAGGTATTGGACCGGACCCTATAAACAATACACAGATTGTCTAGTGCAATTTTAGTTAACTAAATTACTCAAGTGCGGCCCGGCATTCACTACGTGTTTTTCGGAACTTCTGTAAGGACCATTATAATACGACCCCATTCGTAGGCTGCACAATAGGGAACCTGCTCCCCTAGCCCCTCTTCCCTTTGTTTGTAATGCGGAGGGAGGTCGGCATACAGTTCCCTTCCTCCCACGGTGTAGCGATAGGGCAGTTGTTTCTCATCGGCAGCTGTTGTTGTTTCTTTGGCATTTTGCATCACATGTTTCCCTTCCTCCTCCCCTCTTCCCCTACTCCCTGTGTTGGTATCCGCTGTGCCCTGATCTGTTGACTTTTCCCTTCGCTCATCCGTTGTTTCCCCCCTTTCTCCCCCCCCCCCTTCCCCCACACACAGGTGGAGCGGGTACTCGCACAAGCGGACTCCTGGCAGTTTGACTCTTGGCGACTTCGCGACATCACACACGGCCACCCGCTCTCGGCACTGGGATTCTACCTCATACAAAGAGCCGGGTTAATTGAGCGGTTAAACCTGAGGCCGGCGGCGCTTGCAAGGTGCATGTGTTTTGTTTGCCTATATATCTCTGTCTGTCTGTCTGTCTGCCTCAACACCTCAGCAAACGCACCGGCTAGACAGTTACAGGAGGGGATTATGCAAGCTGCCGCATGCTCAAGGGCCGTTCCGGTCTTTGGCCACGCGGTCGCAGGATTGATCATTTCCTATAATCTCTCCGAGTTTCATGTAGTGTGGTTGACTCTCCTCTGCCTTTTTAATGGCTAAACCAACGCTAACATGGCAGGCACGTAAGTGCCTGAAAAAAATCTCATGCGTCTGAATTAACGGAATGAATTGTCTTAGATCATTTTCATGGCTACCTACTAATTTATTTGTGTTATGATATGTCCTTGATATTCAGGGGTATGGTACATGCACTGTTTTGATTCTCTCATTGTCTGGTCTTAGATTTTGGTGGATCACACCCAGCGTGTGAGACCAGCGTAGATTTTGCCGCCTGAGCCGAATTCACATTCGCGTCTTGAAATCTCGGGGCCCGCATGGCTACATGATTGGCTACATCGCTCATCTGGACGGCCCACCAACTGCTTCTACCCCGCCTCTTACCCGCTGCCCTACCTTCCTCATCCGACCCTCCCGTTTCTCTTCTCCCCCCCTTCTGAAATTTCCCATGAAATCCACGGTTCGGAATTTCACGAGTCTGCCGCCTCTTACTCTCCCGTTTCTCTTCTCCCCCCCTTCTAGGCTGCTTCGCCACATCGAGGCGGGCTACAACGACAACCCCTACCACAATGCCACCCACGCCGCGGACGTGCTCCAAACCCTGCACGTCACCATCCACGGTGCGCAGCTGCACGTGCACTACCTCGACCAGCTGGGGCTGCTGGCGGCGTACTTTGCGGCGATCGTTCACGACTACGGGCACCCGGGCCTCACAAACGACTTCCTGGTGGCCACATCGGACCCGCTGGCGGTCAGGTACAACGACAAATCACCGCTGGAAAACCACCACGCCGCGGCGGCGTTCGGGCTGCTGCAGCGACCTGAGCTGGATGTCCTGACGCCGCTGAGCAAGTCGGAGAGGGCCGCGTTCAGGAAGCAGGTGTGGGTGGTTGGATGGGTGGTTGGATGGGTGGTATGGGGGTTAGGGAAGTTAAAGTAGGAGGGGAAGCTCTGGATGACGAGTAGTCTCTAGCCCCTGTAACCGTAACTACTAACGGAATTACTAACGGAAACCAACGGTTGGGCACATGATGCCAAGAGGATCGCCGTGTTCAGAGAACGACTGGAGACCACCATGTCCATTGCTACTTGCCGTTGCTGCTTTTGCGGCTGCTCCTCCTGTCTGTTACTAGTGCCGTTGCTGTTCCTGCTGCGGCAGGTAATCGAGATGGTGCTGGCAACGGATGTCAAGCAGCATTTTGCGCTGCTGAGCCAATTTAACAACACACATCGCCTCGCCAGCTTCGTGCACGCGCCATCCGCTGCCAAGGGCAACCCCAACACTCGCATCTCCGGGTATGTACGTACGTATGTATATATATATATATATATATATATATGTGGGACCCTGTCTCCCGCACCTTATGACAGTAGCTATGATAGCAGCAGTAGCAAGCAGTGGCAGGCTGAGGAAGCGGCGTGGAAGACCGAGGGTGAGGATGAGGAAGATGAAGTAGTAGTAATCACTCCATCCCTGCTTTGACATTCACCCGTCTGTTATATATCCAAAATTTCTTAAGCGACCAAAAGCAAAACATGCCGTGTCCTATTTTACCCGTTGCACAGAAAAAGAAATAATATTGTAAGCATATTGCGGATGTACGAGCTCTGCACCCAGCGCAAGTGCGCAGCGAGCTTCATGCGCTGATTCCCATTCCCCGTAAACCTGGGGGAAGTGGGGACGAGGGTTACAGACATGGCAACCGCCGTACACAAAACTAGGAGGGCACTGAGCGGGTGAGGAGCCGGGTGTTCGCAAAATAAAGCCCCTGAGCTCATGCGTGCGTTTGGAGAGGACGCTTTGCGGTCGAGCTTAAGGGGCCTGCTATAGATATTAAAGTAGATAACAATCCATAACCAGAACCGCGGCCATGACATCGTTCATGCGCCAGTAGACGGGAAGCACACTCGGGGAAGCACATTCGTTGACGGACTCGTTGAAGGACTCGTTGTTGTGTACGGCATCCGGAAAATAACTTCTGGCTCGGCTTTGCGGACCCGAATCCTGATATTCTACCAGAAACCTGAATCTGGAGCTGAAAGAAATAGTGGTGGACGTGGGGGCGGACTGCAAGCACATGGCTCCGAAACCTGTTGACGACATGGAGCGGCTCCTCACACTGCAGCTGGCCATCAAGGCTGCGGATCTGGGTCACCTGGGGGAGGAGCTGGAGGTGCACCAGAGGTGAGAGGAGCGAGGCTGCTGGGGGGAGGGGCAGGGGAGGGAAGGGTGTTGGATGGCGGCTGTGGCTTTACTCGCGACGGGGATGGGGAGGAGAAGGGCGGTGTACGCGTCCTCATTCATTGTATAGGAGCCACTGTCAACCAACCGTCCAGGCAGTTGGAAGAGTAAGGGAAGGGTGGTAGAGTGCTGCACCCTGCACCAACACTGGCGACCGGGGGGGTGTACGCAACCCGTGGTTTGCAGCTCTGCCGGCAAGACATGCGCATGGGCATACCGACGCGGCATCCCTACACCTCCGCTTGCAGACGATGCAGTGTTCTTTTCTTGCGCCCTTGATAGCACCACTGAGGCCTGATAGCACCTGTTTTTAAATAAATTGCGTGCAATTATGATAGGTGGCTGTCTAGCTTGGAGGAGGAGTTTTTCCGTCAGGGCGACAAGGAGCGGCAGCTGGGCCTCCCCATCAGCCCCCTGTTTGACCGGGGCAAGCAGGGCGTCAGTAAGAGCCAAGTCGGGTTCTACGACTTCGTAGCGCTGCCGCTGCTGCACGCGCTGTGCAGCGCATTCCCGGGAACTCAGCCGCTCATGACCTGCTTCATGGGCAATTACCATTACTGGAAGAGCGTTGAAGGCAATGCGACCACTCTCGCGCAGAAGCGTGCGAGCGTATCTATCAGGCCTGAGGGATCTGCCTCGCAGCTTCCAGATTTGGACAGGGAAGGAAAACATAAATCCTAAGGGTGTATTTCCAGTGCGGATTAACGCCAGGGATTAAACCTCTGTCCTCCATCGATACTTGCTCAAACGGCTAAGTTATTGGCAAAGTTACCTCGCCTTTTCAACCTTTGGTTCGCTTATGGAACGAAACTATGTGGTAAGCTCGTACCAAGGACTTCCGTGCCCTAATCCCTGGCCTTAATCCGCATTGGAAATGCACCCTAAGTAGATCCCTAAGTTGGGAACACTTACCAGACAATAGGCAAACACTATTGTCAAGGAAGCGGCGTCGGAAGCAAAAAGTCCTAAGATGAAAGGACAGCGGCATCCAAAAAGATTAACGTTTTGAACGAGCTGCGTTGCTCTGCTTTATGGTCTCGGATCCGCGAACAAAAGATGTGTGGGAAGACACCACGGCGGACTCTTGTCTTGAACTTGTTGACCACGTGTTTTGGCACTGAATAAAGCAGATACAGAGGTGAATGGTTTCGGATGGCATGCATGAATTCAAAAGTGAGCAGCCTAGGGCGGCAAATTTCAAAAACGGAGCGCTGGCCGCTGACTCCTTACTGTTCCAAGTTGCCCGTAGCCGAGCAAGGTTGCGGCAGTGGCAAGGCGCACTTGCTCTACTACTGTTGCAAATTACGTATATACCGTGTAAATCGATACACTGCGCACGAGCGACATCGACTTCGGAGCTGCGCTGTGCATAGACGGCATATGATGCAGCTATTGAGGAGAGGTTGGATTGCAGAGGCTAATGTTTAAAGATATGTTTAGGTGAACGCATTTGCTTTAAGACAAGGAACCATTGAATCATTTTGGAGCCGCCGTGTCCACGAAAGATTTTTGCGCTACGTTCCCTTCTTCGTGTGTCGGTTGGTTGAAATCCGGATTGGTTGAGAGATATCTACCGAGCCACCGTACGCTGACACGAGCGTGTCGTACGTTCACGCATGCATGTAGTTATTTCTGCATGTGTTTTTGCTCGTTCCCAGGCGAAGGACTGCTAGTATGAAAGTGAGATGGAGTGGAACGGTTACTAACATGGCTATACAACTTTGAAGCAACGGGTTTGTAATCATAAGAAGCATTTGCTTAGCTGTGATCTTTTCGGCGTGAGAATTGAACATTTTTTGAGGCCCCAGTTTTGTCTTTTTTTCGCCCTCCCCCTCCGCCTCCTCCTCCTTCTCTGCAGAACAGCAAATGGCTGCTGAGAGCAGCTTGGCGTGCTGGGGTATTATTGTCTGTCTGTCTGTCTGTCTGTCTGTCTGTTCTCCAGGACCCTACGTTACAGTCGAGTTGGGATCGCGAAGGGGTGTATGTGGTCGAAAACACACACACACACATGCTCACACACACACACACACACGCTCTGGCACATGCGCGATCGTCTCCTTTGATCCGTCCTGTCTTTTATCCAACTGCTGGGCAATTTGTTTGTCTGCGTGCCTAACTGTCTCCTGACAAATTCCTTGCTGTTAGTACGAACGACTGGTTGTACGGACTGCTCAGGAGAGCCCGCCGCGGGGAAGGTGCAGTCGTTTTGGAATCGGTCACCGCCCGTACACAAGACTATCCCGGTAGATGTACAATGTGTGTCGTACTGTGGATGGTACGAAGAACGCGCAGAATTTGCGTCGTACTCTACGGCAGTTTCCGTTGCCATTTCCACACCGGCCCCTTTCTATTCAGCGACAATTGGGGTAACACACATATATTATAATTATATATATCTCCAGCTCTCCAGTGCTTGATAATTAATTCATGTGGTGGTTTTTCCGTAATGGAAAAACAGTATCAGCTGTTTGCGTCTGCCTGCTCTCCCCTACACTCAGGTAGGGTTGGCGTGCGTGCGTCTGCTGGTCCAAATTATTACAATTAAGTGAACGTAAATTTGAAAAAGGCGACGATCACGATCGCGACCCGAGGATGTGACAAGGTGAAGGTTGTTTGTACCGCTACCAGTGCGGCAATTTCTATCTTTTGTTTGTCATCAATGGGTCATACAAGTCTGCGTGTCCTGCGATATGGCGAGTATTGTGGTGTATGATCCGACGATATCGATACGATATATCGTATCGATATATCGATATGTACGTAGGAATCCTTGCTGAGGTCATTCTAGCTTCGTTCGTGTTCGCTTCCCACCCACACCGGCCGGTATCTTAGACGGTAGAACTGCAAAGATATATAATACATTGATGGCAGAAGTGATAATGACAATGATCATTGATTATTTTCGGTTGGACCTGATCCTTTGCCGTACGGTTGTACTGCAACCATCGTATTGAAGGATGTGGCTGTTAGCAAGGTTAGCAATTTTGCACCTGTGGTGTTGTTCGCTGAATCCTGGGAGTGCAGTGATAACAGTGATAACACACAAAACCACATGCATAACAAGATACGCGTACGACTGTGACTGTGCGTTGGGAACAAAAAAACTGCAAGTTTGGTTGTTCATGGGCACCCACGAGAGGTGTCATCTGGATGCTATCTGGGTGGCATGCATGGCACCTGGGGCAGCTGGTTACCAACAAGACAGCTGCTGAGACATATATAGCTGCTGTTTACAAACCTGTGTCTACAAACACGTCTTCGCGCCACGTGGGTCATGAGGGCCCACCGTTGGCGTCTCCATTATTATTTGTTTGATGTGTCTACGGCCACCGGACAAGCGGCGTCTTTAGGGAAAACGCATCCATACCACCTTTTGTTCACGCATAGGCAGTCAGTCCTGTTACGATATCTGTCCTAAGCAAACTGTCTCGAGGATTTTTGGGCGGGGCCCCAGCGCGAAGCGCCCAGGGGGGCCCCGACCTGTAGGATTGCCCATGTCCGTGTGTGTGTGCGTGTGTGCGTGTGTGTGTAACGGACCAAACATAATATCTTGCCCGGCTGAAACGCGTTATAGGTACTATATATCATTCTCTATCGCATGGTATCTCGCCTGTAGCCAACAAAAATCGTATGAGCACAAACAACTTTGGCTGCCTCAATTGACCGAGGCCAAAGTCACATCAACGCCTCTCGGGCTAAATTTAATCTCAAAAGGTACCGCGTATCTCATATTTGAATTCCTAGATGACGGCGTATGATAACTCAAACTCCCAGGTCTTGAGTGTGTAACCGACCAAACATAATATTTCACCCGGCTGAAACGCGTTATCGGTACAATATATCATTCTCTATTGCAAGGTATCTCGCATGTAGCTAACAAAGATCGTATGAGCACAAACAACTTTGGCTGCCTCCATTGACCGAGCTCATAGTCACATCAACGCCTCTCGGGCTAAATTTCATCTCAAAAAGGTGCCGTTTATCTCATCATTAATTTCCGAGATGACAGCGTATGATAACTTGAACATCCAGCTTGTGTTACCATTTGCCCGCACGGGCATTCCGACTTGCCACCAGCAGGCCGACAAATTTGCTTACATTTCTCTATAAAATACGCAAGCTGCTCATTTGTACATTTACTTTAGCCAATGCTCGGGGCCTCCGGAGACTTGCGGTGTGCCCCGATGAAGCCCGCGGCTGTGGGGCGGATTGCTGAGGCCGCTGGCGCTTCGGGGATAAACATCACAGACAGCATCGAAATTCACCCAGCTTTCGTTACCATTTGCCCGCACGGGCATTCCAACTTGCGGTCTGCCGCACTGTCCATGCGGCATGCACCCGGGATGGATGCGATTCGCGTGGAGCCCGCAGGCGGTAATGACGATTCCGCCGGTGCAAGCTTAGCTCTCACACCATCAGCACTGCTGCAACAAAGCACATCTCCCACCGCGTTGACACGACCCATCAATTGTCACACGTGCCGCGCTAGCTACTGGCCTGTGCGGATGCAGGGGGGCCCGCCCTTTTTCCGGCTTCGAGGAAGCCGACACCCGACTTGTTATTAGTACGTTCTTGATGGTCGAATATCTGAAAAAAACTTGCTGGTGAATGTAAGTTGCGCCTCCCTTGACGCATTATCTCTCCCCTCTTACACCTTCGTTGACGTTGATTAAGCAGCCCCTCGCAGAAATGTGTCCGGTCGTACTTCGCGAATAAAGACTACGTACATCTCGTCCCAAAAGTCAGGAGCGAATTTTGCCGCGCAGATGCGCGCGTGCGATTCGCAAAATGCGCCTGTACAAGTGTATATAAATTTTCTTGGCGGATGAGGACCAGGTGCGCCAGCGCGTTGCGCAGGTGGGCATGTTGGCCATAGCCGCACGCGGCATGCAGGCTGGACTATTGCCTGGATGCTTTGCAGTAACTGAAATGAAAGCACCGAAAGCCAACGTCGTAGCTTGCAAGATTGGGCTCGTGAAACTGCCGCGGAAGATGAAGCGCTGGCGAAGAGGCAGTTGTATGCAGCACCTTGTTCAGAGTAAAGTCAAATTACAAAGTTGCGCAAAGTATAACATACATAAACTTAATTAAACATAAGAACAGATAAGACGTTTAGAGCCTTGTCGGTGACATGGACGCCGCTGTTGGCTTGGAACAGCTATTTGCTGTGCATAGGGACGTGCCCGCGTTAGCCGTGTTGCAACAGCTCAGGATGGATTTCAGCCAGCAACTGCCTCAAGAGCTGCTGCACAACCACCGGGAATGTCTTCAGTTGGGCACGTGTAGTTTTGGTCGGCGGGGTCGAGCAACGTACGCATTGCGCACAGAAACCAAGGTGCAGCGTCTCTGTAACATCGCCAACATATCCGGTACGCGGTGGCAGGCTTGCCGAGCACGAAATGAAAGGGGGGTCGCATCTCACCATTCAACTAAGCATGCATGTGCTCGGTTGAATGCTCGGTTTACCCCTATCAGGATGTTTGTTTGCATATCCCTCCAAGCGAGAGGGCTTGCACCTATGCTGATGTTCGTTCCAAGAAGTGAACTGAGGACTGATGCTACGGTGAAAGATTTGCACGTAAATTCGCCCGTGCAATAAAACGCCCTGTAACTCGCTTACGCTAATCTCACATTCCAATATGCCACTGCACTTTCCTCTCCAGCCTGGCCACATTCTCTTCCTCGCAAACGTACTTGGGCACCTTACAATCCAACACCATACGTGCTTTGGAAACGCGGGCAGCTGCTTCACAAGGACCCCCCTATTTAAGCAGCCCCTCGCACAAATGTGTCCGGTCGTACTGTGCCGAATAAACACTCCGTACAAGACGCCCAAAGCCAGGAGCGAATTTTAACGCGCGGATGCGCGCGTGCGATTCGCAAAATGCGCGTGTACAAGTGTATATAAATTTTCTTGGCGAAAAAGGACGAGGTGCGCCAGCGCGTTGCGCAGGTGGGCATGTTGGCCACAGCCGCACGCGGCATGCAGGCTGGACTATTGCGTGGCTGCTTTGCAGTAACTGAAAGCACCGAAAGCATACGTCGTAGCTTGCAAGATTGGGCTCGTGAAACTGCCGCGGGAAGAGGAAGCGTCTGGCGAAGAGGCAGTTGTGTGCAAGCAAACGGTCGCGTTTTTGGTAGTGCAACGTATACAGCACCTTGTTCAGAGCAAAGTCAAATTACAAAGTTGCGCAAAGTATAACATACAAAAAATTAATTAAACATAAGAACAGATAAGACGTTTAGAGCCTTGTCGGTGACATGGACGCCGCTGTTGGCTTGGAACAGCTATTTGCAGTGCATAGGGACGTGCCCGCGTTAGCCGTGTTGCAACAGCTCAGGATGGATTTCAGCCAGCAACAGCCTCAACAGCTGCTGCACAACCACCGGGAATGTCTTCAGTTGGGCACGTGGGTCGAGCATCGTACGCATTGCGCACAGAAACCAAGGTGCAGCGTCTCTGTAACATCGCCAACATATCCGGTACGCGGTGGCAGGCTTGCCGAGCACGAAATGAAAGGGGGGTCGCATCTCACCATTCAACTAAGCATGCATGTGCTCGGTTGAATGCTCGGTAGCGTGCGAGTTTACCCCTATCAGGATGTTTGTTTGCATATCCCTCCAAGCGAGAGGGCTTGGACCTATGCTGATGTTCGTTCCAAGAAGTGAACTGAGGACTGATGCTACGGTAAATTCGCCTGTAACTCGCTTACGCTAATCTCACATTCCAATATGCCACTGCACTTTCCTCTCCAGCCTGGCCACATTCTCTTCCTCGCAAACGTACTTGGGCACCGTACAATCCAACACCATACATGCTTTGGAAACGCGGGCAGCTGCTTCACAAGGACCCCCCTAATTTTGCTTGACCTAGGGCTGTGACATGTAGGACCAGCTTTTTGTTGTCGTACATAATTGGAGCTCGTCCTATCGGCTCCTTCAATGTGCCCAATGTAACGACAAGAGCAAAGTTACAGTGTCCAAAGTCTGCGCCGACGTACGATACCGTACTCTACTGTACGAACAATATTCGTACTACCCTGAGATTTAGCCAGGGGTTATTAGAAATGGCAGCCTTGGATATAAACCAGCCAAAAAGAATGAACAGCGCTACGCATCATATTCATCAGTTATCCTCCTTGGGCGCTAGTCTGGGCTGATAGTGAGGTGCTTCCTTTTCTCCGTGCACTATGATGACGGGTGATCGCGTTAAGTCCGCGTTAGCTCGCGTTAGTTCGCGTAACGGTGTGAATCTTAGCGTTAGGTGCGAATGAGCATGCTTTTGTAAGGGTGTGTTCACATGTAGTCCAATTGAGAGTCTGATTGGGAGTCCGGAGAGCATAGCTTGGAAACACCTATCTGTTTCCCAGGAAACAGGGTCGTTTCCAGGGAAATGCCCTTTTCTACGGAAAAGCCCTCGTAGTACGGAAAACTCTTGTAATATTAAATTTAAAGCCAAAAATTATTGGAAACTTCTTTCCGAGCATCTCCTATTGACTCAGTATCCATGGAATACCCAATCTGTAAGGTTCTGTCAGTTCGTTAGCGCGCGCTTCTGAGACCATGTCGTAACTTTCGGAGTGAGGTTATGGCGCGCTAATATGACTATTTAAGCGGACGGACGAGCCATCAGCCGACAGCTGGCGCTGCTGGCGGTGCGGCACCAGTTCGAAGTGCAGGCGGAGCACATCGCCGGGGAGCTTAACGTCAGGGCGGACCGGCTCAGCCGCAATCTGGAGTTGGCCCGCAGCCAGAATCTGCGCCTCAAACCTCGCATGTTCCGCTCCCTGGTCGGGTTTGGGCAGTATGCTCCCTCGGTGGACTGTTGCTGCGACGTGCTAGGTGTCAACGCACAGCCGGGTTGCTCCACCTTCTTCAGCCCGGACAAGTCGGTGCTGGGTCAGGCGGCAACCCTCGCTGGCAAAGTCCTGTGGGCCTTCCCACCCAAGGATTTGGTCAGGGAGGTGCTGCTCGAGATCGTGGCGGCTGCGAGGCTCGACCGGAGCACACGTGCAACTGTCGTTGTGCCAAACTGGCCGGAGCGCTCGTGGTTTCGGCGTTTCGTCGTGGGCACCGGGCAAGGGGCAACCCCGTTTGTGGTATCGGCTGTCTTGCCCAAGGGCCGACGGCATTGCCTTTTCCCATGGGGGGCCGAGGCCGCGCCCAGCGAGTACGACTTGATTGTGCTCAGGCTCAATTAGATTGCCCCGCATCCCCCCCTTGGCCAGTTTCGGCAGGCGGTCTCCAGGAGGAGGGAAGCTGCTCCGTCTGCGGGCGGCGCTGTGGAGCTGGGGATCTGCGCTGTGAGGCCTGCCCCTGCTCGACCCATCGCCCCAGGCGCCTACCCCGGTGGTTGGTACCGCTGCACCTCTTGCTTGCTTGCGGCGGCGGGTATCGGATCAGTGGCCCAGGGGAGTGTTATGGAGGAACTAGCACGGCTAGCCGTGGAGTTGCACGGCAGCGCGGTCGCAGACAGCTCTTCGGTCACATACGAGTCGGGGTGGCGGCACTTTGTGCGCTTCTGTACGGAGGTCGCAGGGGTGCCGGAGGCGGACGCCCTGCCCCGCCAGCGTGGGTCTGACCTCAATCGGGACCTGGTGTGTCTGTTCATAGCGCATGCAGTTGGCCGGTACGCGACCTCCACCGTCACCGGCACGCTGAGCGCCCTGGCGGACTGGCAGCGGTTCATGGGAGTCTCGCCAGAGGCATATATCAGCCGCGACCCGCTGGTCAAGCGAACCCTGGGCCAAGCGTTGCGAAGGTCGGCTGCAGGGCCGGAGTCGGCACCGTCCATGGCAAAGGCACCCTTGCCCCTGGGGGTGTTGAGGCTGCTCGTGGCGTGGCTACAGTGCAGGGCAAATGCGGAGCCGCGGAGGGTGTCGGAGTTCACACAGGATGCCTGCTGGTTGGTTTTGGGGTTTTTCGGGATGCTCAGGAGGAGCGAGTTGGCGGCCCTGACAGTGGGCTGCATTGAGGAGTTGCCGGGAGGGGGTGTGGGGCTGCGGATCGTACGTAGCAAGACGGACCAGAAGGGAGAGGGGACGTTGGTGTGCCTGGCAGCACTCACCCAGAGCGGCATCCCCATTGCTCGCATAGTACAGCGGCACCTGGAGTGCGTGGGAACGGCCGAGGGTCACTTGGAGCGTATGTGACGCGACTGGGTGAGGGGGATGTTTCGCTGGGTTAGGCGTGGGGCCAAAGTAACCCAAGCGAGGCCGTCGGCTGCCTGCGGGTTACCAATGCGGAAGAGCACAGTAGCCCGGAAGGGCCGCACGAAGTAGCATGCGGGCTCTGGCAGGCAGGCTGGGCGTCTCTTATCCCCAACCATATGTCCACGTCCCCGGTGCCTTGTTCATGTTAGTTGTACGGTAACGAACGCGTTTTGGGTTTCTCGTCCCGGTTCTTGGTCTGGCTAGCTGCTCAGCCCGGATTCAAAATCTTATTTTAGGCATAGCCGAAAATGTGGTTTGAAGAGGGGCGTCAGAGCGGCGTCGTACGGTGCAGTTAGTTGGTTGTTGTTTTGAATTGCTATTTGATCGGCGGTGTTTAGTCTTGTCAAATTATCTTCCGGGCGATCTCAGACTCGGCTACTAGTTGATACGAGCCCTCTGTACCAGAACAGCTGCTAGCTGCCGCTGTTATTGTCCTTTGGTCAGCGGTGTGAATTTGACGTCCTTTTCCTCACTTGCTGCACTCAGGACCTGTGGTCGCTCGTCCTGAGCAATGTCCCTGATGCGCGTCTTGCTAAGCACGCACGTCAAGAAAGGCGCGTGGATGCTGTAGGGGTTGCAGTTGTCCCTGCAATCCAAATTACCATCCTTTTCAGTTAATGAGCAGTCAGGTTCACAGTTGGGTAACACTCGCGCACAAGTTACCTGCAAGCCTGGTCGGATTTACTGTGTCCCGTAAAGTGGAAGCGATCCACGTAGAAGCCCACTTCCTTCCACTTCTCGAGCGCGGCCTCGGAACCCAGGACCTCAACGAGCCGATCTCTGTTGTCGGGGTTATGCACGTACGCTCGGGCAAAGCAACCACGGTCGTACACAATATGGTCTGGGCACGCCTCATCGGGGAACAACCGATTTAGCGTCTCGATGACAGGCAGGACCCTTTCTCCGTCACGACGCCACAGCCACACGTCATAATCATAGTCCCGTACGTGTAGCGCCTCGCGTGCCTGGGAGTGTTGTATACGGAACAGCACATTCAGTTGAATTATCATTCTGCCAGAGGTGTGCATGCACATCTTGGGGTGGCGCGCCCGTGACCAGCACACTTGGGGTTGATACATATATCACCGGGGTACTCAAGGCGGACAGTAGCTATCTGACCCGTGCTATGCAAAGCGTTGTTGTCGAGTTGGGTCAGGGCTTGCTCCGCCTCCATGCACATGTCGGCTATGGGAGACACCCCATGTTCATTGCCACGCAGGCTGTCAAATAGCTTTGTAACGGCGCTAACACTAGTTCCAGTCGCGGTCGCTATGATAGGAAGTGCGGCGGTGCGGCCGTCCGAGTTAGCTTTCTTGCCAAAGATGTTCGGTTTCAGGAATGCAAGTAGGGACATAATTGCGACCAATACTGAGTAGAAGGTTGCTAGGCTCCAGTTGTGGATTTCTGGAATGCCTTGGGTAAGATTAATCAGCTCCTCGATAAAGCGGATCGCCATTGTTAACAGATATCTAAGGGAAATGAACCCTAGATATCTTTTCAAAGTTTTCACAAGTAAGAAGACCGCTCAGCTGAAAGAACGGGAAGTTCGGATTCGAAGTAAGTACGGAAAGCGCGCTTTCCGTGAAAAGGGTCTTTTCCCTTGGAAACGGCCTATCCCTTTCCAGGGAAACCAATAGGTGTTTCCGAGCTACCTAGTGGGAGTCCGATTCGGGGCGGCTTTCTGAATTGTGTTCACATACGATTGCGGCCACCGCGCGAGGTGCCACCGCGCCCAGCTGAAGCTCCGCGGCTACGCCCCATCACCCAAGGCAAGCCAGCATTATCTAGGAACAGAACAGTATAAGTATCGTTTCTATGGCGAAAATTATCACCAGGCTTGTACATACATAGCTGCAGGAGTTCGTGAAAAATGCTCGGTGCGCTTTGCGTGAATTAACAATTGGAAAATGTTCCTATAGTATTGTAATGGTAATTATGAGAAACGGTTTGTTAAACAACTTTGTTTTGAGAAAGAAAACTGTGAATCACGTCGAATCATACCCGAAGAGGCCCCCCCGGACCCCAATTCCGATTCGGGTCCAATCAGGTCCAATTCAGAGTCCAATTCGCATGAATCAACCCTGATTCGCCCACATGTGAACACGTCCTAACGCACAATGGCTATGGAAAAGCGGAAATCGGCCCTTCTGGCTAAAATTGTTTAAAAGTTTATAACTTTCAGATTGTAAACTTTCATTTGGAAATAAACTTGCGTCGTTTTGGTTGACTTGAACAATTCATCCGTGCGTATGTTGAAACGCGAAGCATACGCGCATGTGTAGCAAGGCGATACGCATGCGATTCCATATTGCGATTCGTGCGTGTGAGGAGACAATGCGTAAAGCAATTCGCGTCCAATCGCACATCGAACGCACACAGTCCGCCAGTCAGGGTTAGACAGGACCTTCCTAAAATGGCCGGGTTGCCGGTTTTCCCCTTCCCATGCCCGTCGGCCCCGCCCGATAGCGTTTTTGCATATCTTTCAATTTCTGTCGGGTGCCCCGATAGCCCATCCCAAAACCTGTCGGGTGACGCAAGAACGAAATTTCGCTGTGTGCCGCTTGAAATTACATTTATTCGTATTTTATATGCGCAGTTTCCAGTTCTCAGTTTGCAGTTCACAGTTCTGATATGCACGAACAAACACACACACAGCAACACATGCACGCCTGCACGTCTGCCTGTGAGCATCACAACCCGAGCTCTTCAAGGAGACCCTTAGACACCGTAGGACTGGAGAGGAACATCTCCCCCTCATCGGCAACCTCACTGCCAGACTCACTGGACAGTTCTGGATCCCCATCACTCATAAATGCCTCGCTGGCCTCCTCTTCGTCATCTTCCCCCTCATCAGCCGGCTCCTCATCGCTCTCAACATCACTATCCAAGCATGGCACTGTAGTGCGTGAAACCCCCATAAGGGTTTTTAGGGTGGGGGCCGCAGTGCCAGATGCGTAAACATCAGATGCATCGCTGAAATCCATGACCTCAAAAGGCTGAGCAAGTAGCCGAGTAGCTGATTGATTTCACTGAATGAAGCCAACGATCGAGCAGGTTCAGCTTGGGAAAGCTGTTTTGGTAAAGCCCACAGACTTACAGGACGAGGCAGCAAATGTTCGAAAGGGCAATGTAAAGCTGCATATGGTCTTTGTATTAATTGTCAATAAGGCCGAGATAAGGTAGTGTGCCCTTCACTTATGTATCCAAGCATGGATCCCTGTACAGCAGAGTCAAAGGATAAAGAATGCTACCACTACATTACATATTTCCATCCAGTTATATTTTTATGAATGCCATTATGTATCGCTGTAGCTGTCCGTCGCCGAAGGGCCTACCGACGACCCACGCACCCGATCGGGTGGTCCTAGCGCCCCTAACCATGTCGGGTCCCCCGACGGGGGCCCTCCGGGCCCCGACGGGGGCTCCCGATGGCCGTTTGGCATTTTCCCCCTTTTTCGTCGGGTCCGCCCGAAAGCATTTTCAAAGCCTGTCGGGATTTTCAGGACAAGTGCCATTCCTGTCGGGACCCGATCGGGCTGTCTCACCCTGCCGCCAGTCGCATGCGAATGCATGTTGCGTTTCATGCGTATGAAGGCTAATTGCGTAAAGCTTAACGCGGCCTAACACTTACCAAACGCACACACTTCGCAACGCATTTCGCATGCTAATACATACTGCGTTTCATGCGTATAAAGGCTCATTGCGTAAAGGTGCAGTTCACGGATGACCGGCCCTATTTGCCTTTTATTGCCACTTACTAGCAGGACGCGATGGTGTAATATTTTAGAAATCTGTTAGTATGGTTTTGGAAGGTTTATAATTCTAATATAATATCGCGAAAAGGCAGTGCATTCGGGCCTGTAGGCGGGCCGTATTCTTGCAGTTCTATAACGCGGCCTCTGGTTAAAATCACGTCATATCGCGTTAGCGTCGCGTTAAACTCGCGTTAAAGCCTCGTAACGCGAATTTAACGCAACGTAACGCGACCACCCGTTGTCATAGTGATGGTACATAGTACGGCACATATTACGTATGCAAAGACGCGCTAAGGCGCTCCGCCAGCATCTTGAGAGGCCTTTTCATCAGCGGCCAGCTACTACGGCAGCATGTATATGCTGCTGCTGGGATCATGATGGTGATGATATCTATTGCAGGGTTTCGCAGGGTAGCTGGGTAGCAGGGTAGCTGCCACGGGCGAAGATATACCCCCCTGTTTCACATATCTATATATTGCACCTACTACCTACAGCTGCTTGAACCTCGTGCTACTGCACCGGCATGTGGTTGCCGGCGCAGGAATGCTTGCGCATCTGTACAGGGATGTACAGCAATCAAGCGAGCTTGCGTCGGAAGCTGCGTGCATAGTAGCGAATGCACGCATGTCATGTACGCATCGAATTTACACATACAGGCGGCGGCGAGCTTCCTTATAAAGCTCTCTCCAGCAGCGCTCTCTCTGGCCCTTGCTTTGTTACACAAGAGATAGCTAATACGTGATCACGATGTGCAAATAGCCCAAGATGAATGTGCGTGCACACGCAAAATCTGAAAGCGACTGAATGACACACAAAGGCATCAAAAGTGTTGAGCATGCATATTTACCAAGAAACTAAATGAAACGCGCACGCACGTCCGTCCACGCACCTACGTTTATCCTGCCTAAGCCACCTCTCGATGCGTTTTATCACAGATGAACGTAGATCCTATTTCCTAATCAAGCTAAATGCGGTCAACCCCCCTGGACTCTCGTGGTAGACAGCAGCAATAATAATGCACGCAGCACGGTGCGATAGTTCACGTACAGCCGCGATTAGCTCCCGTGTATGGTGCTGAACAGCCGCAGCAGCAGCGCAGCGCATCTAGCCGTGCAACGCACGTCTGGATGTAGGTTCGGTCTAAATCAAGATTGGCGCGACGGTGGCTTATTGCGCCACACGCATGCCGCTGCACCATCCATCTCGTATAGCTAAATAAAAGCACGGAAGATCCACTCCATGCATGCATCACTGCAAAACATAATAAAATTTGAGACGCTGGTCCTCTTGCGTGTGATAGTACGCGTGGCCAACACACCGGTACACTAGCTACACGGTACATGGCACGTACAACGCCAGCAGCAACTCAGCACTGCATTTATTTACTTCCGTCCGTCCGTTCGCGGTACAGTGCCCTGGCATCACCTACGGAAATATCCTTCGCGCATATACGTACACACAGACATGCGCGTGTGTGTGACGATGCAACTCCATTCACTCCACCGTGCCATGGCATCAGAACGCTTTCCAGCCATACGTTCATCGCCCGCAATATGGTATCAGGGGTTAGTGCCTGTCGCAGCAGATGTCGCAGCAGCTAGCTAGCTGGCGCATGCAATTGAAGTACTACTACGCACTGTGTTGTTGCACGCTGCATGACGTGAAAAAGTGTTTGTAGGCAAGGCCGTACTGCAGGCCAAACCGTGTGCGTGTTTAGGAAAGTAGGAGGGTCGGACGGGTAGGTAGCTAGTGTGTCGGGAAATGTACATGCACCGCACCAGTCCTACACTATGATGGCGCGCCCACGCATGCGCACTACTACCGCAACTGATAAGTATAGTTGCCACTGACATCATTATCAGGAGTTGCCGGAAATCATAGTGGAAAACGCATGTCCACTCCTGCACGCATGTCCAAGCTCTAGACACATACCTCGCACGATGCCACGCACGCACTAGCGCCAGGGAACGACAACGGACCGACGATGGCGGGTAGCGGCCGAGCTGTCACCGCCGCACGCAGCTTGGCGTGAGACGTGTGGTCATCAGAGGTCATCTAAAGGATAGCTAAGGAAGCCTGGCTTATTGCTTGCCGCTGCCGCTGCCTAGCAGCTCGCGCCCAGGAAGCAATCCAAGTAGTAGCGTAGATGCAACAACATGCTGGGCGCGTGCCAGGTATCTCATTTCGATTTTTATCATAACGTAACAGCAGCAGGCAACCATTCAGGCCCTACGCCAAGGTTTCCGCTATCTGCCATATATAAGCAGTCAATCCTCGTCCATGACTGTGCAACGTATACGTGCCAAAAACCATATACATGCTTCCGCCAACCGCCGGAGCGCCCGCATGGGTTCAAGCTGCACAGTCGGCCGGTAAAAAAAAGATAGAATCAGTTTTCGCAACTACTACCTACAAATAGACACCAAACATGCCTCTTAGCATGCATGCCCAATGAACGCCCTTCGTTTGGTTTCAGTGGCAATGGCAATCTGCTCGACCATGCAGCACTACTGTTTCGCAGGGTTGGAAAAGGTAGCAGTTTGCCCAGATGCGTTTCTAAGTACGGTCATAACATTTGCCTTGAGGTTTGTCCTAAAAGGCAGCACACATCCTACACTCCATCTCTCACAACACATACACGAAAAACCCTAAGCATCAGCCTCAGCCTACACACATGAACTCCCCAGGCAAGTCAAAGAAATGGGAGATGGATTGATGAACGTGAACGAGGGAGAAACATTTGAACAATATAGTGTTTGTACTACTGTGGATATAAAACAGCTCCTGCATACTCTAGCTGCTGCTTACATATTTGCCTAACTTAGGCTAAAACCCTAAAATACCTAAAACCCTAATTGAATCAGGCCAGCACACAAGGGCTTGCCGCCGCCGAGTGAAGACGCAGCTTGACTATATGCAGCAGGCTCTCTGCAACTGTGCGTGGCTTGATCCATTTTCTATTGCTGGTTCATCATCTAGCCTTAATTACACATATAAGGAACTCATGCCCAAAAAAACCCAACATGCATGCTTCGTGCGTGCATACAAGCAATATTAAAAGACAATGATAATGCCTGGCCCCCCGCCATCTGCCTGTCTCTCAGCTCTTTCGTTGCGATTTCTCTATGCATGCATGCACTCATCCCACTCCCTGCTGGCTGTCCCACCAGGAGTCCATTTTGTCCCGCGGCACGCGCCTCGCCGGACACAGAAAATCTCATTCTTTCTATCTGGGCTAAGGGCAGGAGGCCTTGGGCAAGGGCGTCATCCACTTCCAAATTTCATGACGACATACATCCTGCATGCCCCGCTGACGCCCTGGTCCAATCCTCAGACCCTAGTCCAATCCTAATGCCTTGCTGGCCAAGTCCTCAGGCATGCTACCTTGTCCTGGTCATGCACGCACGTCGAACCCACACCGTCGAGCATGACACAGATTGAAACGAAATCGGACGCAGACATATTACTTGGGAAGCATAGCCATCTCAGGGATGATGCCCCTGCTGCTGCTGCTGCGGCGGCTGCGGCTGCGTCATGGTGGCTCGAAGCCGAAGCAAATGCTGTCGGGACACAACCTGTGTAGTTTACGCGCATACATACAAACACCCTGCTGCCGTAAGTACTGCCCTAACATCCCCATTCACCCATCCATCCATCCATCCATCCATCCATCCAGTCACCACCAGCTAGTATGCGAAGGCTTTTATTTTTCGAAGCTGTCGGAGGCGGCAATTAAGTATGGAGGCCAGCGTATGCGCAACCGGAACCGCTACATGATTGCAGAAGCCGCCGGCCAAGCAACTAGCTAGGGGTCTATGTTCCAGTATGCCACCTTCTCTAGAAAAGCCCCAGCAGAAGCTGTCACACACCATCGTTATCCGCCGTGAACTCGGGAGCAGACGCTGACGTCAGCTGCCTGAACCAACTCCATGGTCGGAAGGCGGCGTTGGCTGCCTTTGAAACCGCCTTGGAAGGTTTTGTGGTGAATTGTATGGGGGCAAGGTTGGCTGATGTTTGCTGGCCTGCTTCAGTGACGGAGACTTATCAGATCTGGCTGAGGCTGGGGACTCGGGTCGGGAGGAGTTGGGTAAATCCTCCGGTGATGATGAGTGAGACTGATCTGAGCAAGGACCGTTTGTCGACATCGAGCCATCAGTGTTGGGCACGTCCCCAATATTCCCGGAGTCCGGTAAACCATCGCCTGATAGCTCTAACGCATTACGGGAAGAAGGCAGGTAGCCATCGGTGGAAGCAGTGGAAGCTGCTGCTTGCGGTAGCCTCCTGTCCTGCTCTGATGAGTCAGCTGCTGATGCTGATGCTGCGTGTTCCCTTAGTGACCGTGCTCCAAAGATTTCGTCCTCCATCTCTTGTGGAGGGGGATACAAATAAAAGCTTGGCGGCGGAAATGTTTCAAGAGGATGCCAGTACTTAGGGGAACGCCAGGAATTGGCGGTCTGTTTAAACTCGGGGGGTTGCATGTAATCTGGGGGGGCTTGATATATGTAATCCGGGGGAGGCGCCTCTTCTGGCGGCGGGGGAGTCTTAGGTGCGCGTGGGGATTTGGCTGGGTGGGGAGGTGGGGGCCAAGGTGGTGATGGTTTGCTCAAGGCTGGCGGTGGCGATATTGATGGCATTACGTTCTGCGATTCAGATGGCGGTTCAGGCGAAGATGATACATCTGGAACGGAGGGCGGTGGTGGTGGTGGCGGTGTTGGAAGGTTGGTTGGTGGTGGCGGTGGTGGCGGTGGTGGTGGTGGTGGTGGTGGTGGCGGCGATGGAAAGTTGGGTGGTGGTGGCGGTGGTGGCGGTGGTGGTGGTGGTGGCGGTGGTGGCGGTGGTGGTGGTGGTGTCGGTGATGGAGGGTTGGGTGGTAGTGGTGGTGGTGGCGGTGGTGGTGGTGGCGGCGGTGATAGAAGGTTGGGTGGTAGTGGCGGTGGTGGAGGTGTTGGCGGTGGTGGCGGCGATGGAAGTTGGGTGGTGGTGGCGGTGGTGGCGGTGGTGGTGGTGGTGGCGGTGGTGGCGGTGGTGGTGGTGGTGTCGGTGATGGAGGGTTGGGTGGTAGTGGCGGTGGTGGCGGTGGTGGTGGTGGCGGCGGTGATAGAAGGTTGGGTGGTAGTGGCGGTGGTGGAGGTGTTGGCGGTGGTGGCGGCGATGGAGGTTGGCGGTGGCGGCGGTGATGGAGGTTGGGCGGTGGCGGCGGTTGGGGCGGTGGTGGCGGTGGTGTCGGTGATGGAGGGTTGGGCGGTAGTGGCGGTGGTGGCGGTGGCGGCGGTGGCGGCGGTT